TTGATTTCTACTAGTTTATTAATTTTTAAAAATCATTGGTTTTCTCTATTGTTTTCCTATTGTCAATTTCATAGATTTCTACTCACTATTTCCTTCCTTGCTGATTTAGTTTTATTTTGCTCTTTTATAAGTTCTTGAGGTGAGAATGCACATTATTGATCTGAGACTTTTTCTTTTTTCTTATGCATATATTTAAGGGCTATAAATTTCCCTTTCAGTACTGCTTTAGCAGCATCACATGAATTTTTGTATGTTATGTTCTCATTTTCACTGAGTTCAAAATATTTTAAAATTTCCCTTGAGACTTCTTCTCCTTTAGATCATAGATTATTTAGAATTGTATTGTTTCCAAGTGTTGGATATTTAGTTTCCAAGTATTTGGATATTTTCCTCTTATCTTTCTGTTATTGATTTCTAGTTTGATTCCATTATAATCAGAGAATATACCTTGTGTGATTTAAATTCTGTTAAATTTGTCAAGGTTTGTTTTATGGACTAGTATATAGTCTATCTTGGATAATGTTCCATGTGCACTTGAAAAGAATGTGTATTCTGCAAATTCTTGTTGGGTGGAGCATTTTATAAATGTTGATTAAGTTCTGTTGGCTGCTATTGTCATTGAGTTCTTCTATATCCTTGCTTACTTTCTGTCTAGTTGTTCTATGAGAGGTTGAGAAAGAAGTGTGTAGGTTTGTCTGTTTCATCTTCAATCAGTTTTTGCTTCACATATGCTTGGAACTTTTTTGTTTGCTGCATATGTGTTAGGATTTCTATACCTTCTTGGAGAATTTACCTTTTTATCATTATGTGGTGTGCCTTTCTGTGTCTGTTGTTTAGATTGGGTAATTTCTATTGTTTTGTCTTTAAATTCACTGATTCTTTCCTCTGTCCCCTCCATTCTGCTGTTGATGCCATCCATTGAATTTTAAAAATTAGCTGTCACAGTTTTTGATGTTAAAATTTCAATTTGGTTTATGTATTCTCTTTTTGGTTGAGACTTTCTGTTTCTTTGCTATTTCTTTTCTATTTATTTGCTCTTTCTGGGACTTTCTGTTTTTTCATTTGTTTCAAGTGTGTCTGTAGTTGCCCATTCAAGCACTTTTTATGATGGATGTTTGAAAATCTTTGTCAGATATTTCTGACATCTTTGTCATCTTGATTCTTGGCATCAATTGATTTTCTGTTTTTCAGTCGGTTTGGTATTTTCTTGATTCTTGATATAGTGACTGACTTTTTGTTGAAATGGCCATTTTGAATATTATATTGTGAGACTCTGGATCTTATTTAAACCTTTGGTTTTAGGTGGCTACTTTTGACACAGATACAGCAGAGCAAAGAGGAGGCATCCCTTCATTTCTACCAGGTTGGGGTAGAAGTCCAAGTTTCCAACTCAGCCTCCGCTGACCCTTGATAGGGCTCCTTGTTAGTGATGGGTGAGCATAGCGTAGGAGCTCCCGGCTAAGCTCACATTGATCCCTCCCTTCATTGTAGTGGTGGTGGGCCTCGTTGCTGCTGGGAGGGGGGCGTGAAAGGAAGTCTGTGCTCCCTGCTGGGCCTTCTTTGGTAATACTCAAGTAGGAAGGAAGTGGAGGTTGAATGCTTCACTACAGCTTCAAGAAGGGGGAAATCTAGGCTTCCTAGTAGCCCTTGCTGGCCTAGATGGGAGTGGGGCCACAGCTTTTCTATTGTGTTTTGACAGGTAGAGTGATTATTATCTAAAGTTTTCTATCTTTTGAAGCCCCCTTCCCAGTTTTTCTGCTAGAGAGACTGGGCTTTTGTTGGGACTCTCTTTGTCTACACCCACTGATATTTCCATGTTGCTGCCTTCTTTAGCTCCAAGTCTAGGAGGCAGAAAATAAAGCCAGAGCATTCACCACTGTGTTACTGCTAGCCAGTTTGCTTTCCTTTCTCCACCATTCAGAATAGTTTAATGCAATGTTTTTTGTTTTTTTAATGTCTAGAACTTTTCGAGGTACTTAGAGCAAGGAATCGGGCTTTCCAGGTGTCTCAGTGGTAAAGAATCCGCCTCCCAATTCAGGAGACGCAGGGAATGCGGATTGGGTCCCTGGGTCAGGATGATCCTCTGGAGCAGGAAATGGCAACCTGCTCCAGTATTCTTGCCTGGAGAATTCCATGGACAAAGGAACCTGGTGGGCTACAGTCGATAGGGTTGCAAAGAGTTGGACATGACTGAGTGACTGACTGCTGAGCAGAGTGAGGAATAGGGAAAAGCATGTCTATTCCATATTTCTGAAAGCAGAAGTCTCATTCAGTTTGCCTTTACTTGTTTTATTTTAACAGGCCAATCTCTTTTCCTACCCAAGTTCTTGGGTCCAAGTATCCTTAATCAGACTTGTGTAAATTGCTTTCCATGGGGAAAGAAAGTTAAACTCCCAGTCTTGAAAGAGCTCTGTGCATCGGTGGGATGGGTAGAAACAGTTTTCATACCCAAACTACACACTGGGCCCTCTGTGAATTTATAGCTTTCTTTTACTCATCTTTAAGGCTTGGGGCCAACCAGAAGGAGACCAGAGATATTCAGATTACTTCACATTCATTATGGGATCTTTTGAGCTTCCCTGGTAGCTCAGCTGGTAAAGAATCCACCTGCAATGGTTTGGGATTCCTGGGTCAGGAAGATCCCCTGGAGAAGGGATAGGCTATGCACTCCAGTATTCCTGGGCTTCCCTGGTGCCTCAGATGGTAAAGAATCTGCCTACAATGTGGAAGACCTGGGTTCGATCCCCGGGTTGGGAAGATCACCTGGAGGAGGGCCTGGCGACCCACTCTAGTCTTCTTGCCTGGAGCATCCCCACTGACAGAGGAGCCTGGCGGGCTCCTCGGGGTCGCAGAGTCAGACACGACTGAGCGACTAAGCATAGCACAGCACAAGGGATCTTTAAGCTCCAGAGGTACAAAGAAGTTCCCATGACACAAGAGGAAGTTTCACCTAGAGGTTTCCAGGAACTTACAAGTGCCACAGAGGAGCAGCTGGGGGACGTGTATGGTGGTCCCTTCCAACTTGGCCTGGCTTCTAAAACCAGAGCTTCTTGCCTTTGATTATTGAGGGTGAGAACCATGCTCAATACTCTCTTGGAGCCAGGCTTCTCTATACTTCATCGTTTACTAAGTCTGCTTCCTTAAAAGCCTGTTATTTAGGGAAATATGATCTTGCTGTGGAGCAGCATGTGTTTTTAATCCAGCTAGATCTCGTTTGGGATCCTGGTCCCATCTTTTGCTAGCTGTATGACCTTGAAGCTCAATCATTCACTTAAAAATCATCCTGTACTGCCTACTGTGGACCAGTCACTGTGCTGTGTTTTGGTAATGAGTACCCCCTTCTCCCTTTTCTTTACTTTCCAGCCAATAGCAAGTCCAGTTGGTTTTACTTCAGAAATATATCCAGAATTGAACTACTCTTCTCCATCATCCCATCTTTTCCCCAGCCTATAATAGTAAGTTCTCTGGTTCTGTTCTTCCCTCTAATACTCTGCCTCAGTTCATTCTTTCAGAAACATGCATCGAATTATTATTCTCTTACTCAGGACCCTCCAGTTACACTGAGACATGCTGAGAATAAAACCCAACCCCTCCCCATGGCCCACTAGGGCCTGCATGGTCTGGTTTCTGCTTCCTGGTCGAGTTGTCTAGCATCTCTTACCCTCTCATTTAGTATGAATTAGTCATGCCAGACTTTATTCCGTTCCTTAAAATATCTCACTTGTCCTACCCTGAGGCCATTACACCAGTTATCTTCTCTATCTTGGATACTTTTTCATCCAAAGTTTGAATGACTTGTTATCTTGCTTTCATTCAGGTTTTAGTCCAAACACTCTCTTTCCCCTACTCCTCAAGTCAAATTCTATCAAAACACTGTGTGTCCCCCAGCCTCTTATTTTTTGAAATTATAATTTCATTGTACATAGTTTTATTAGAATACGGTCACAATCATTTGATTAAATTTTGTCAATGGTGAAATTTAATGATACTTTAAATTTATTTATTTTTTAAAAGTACTCAGATTTATTTTCTAGGTACTTTTATGTATGTTGTCTAATTTATACCTGACAGCAACCCGTAATGAAGTTATTGTTGTTATCATCATTGTTATAAAACACTTATTCTTTATTAGCCACTATTTTCAGCTCTGTGGGTGTTCCTATTGGCTCAGTGGTAAAGAATCCACCTGCGATGCAGGAGATGAGCATTCGATCTCTGGGTCAGGAAGATCCCCTGGAGAAGGAAATGGCAACCCACTCCAGTGTTCTTGCCTGGAGAATCCAATGGACAGAGGAGCCTGGTGGGCTACAGACCATGGGGTTGCAAAAGAGTCGAACACAACTTAGCAATTAAACAAAAATAACGACAGCAATTTTAAGCTCTATGCATATATTAACATACTTAATCATGACAACAACCCTATGAGGTAGGTACTATTGTCTGCATTTTCTTTTTTTTAAATAAATTTTTACTGGTGTATAGTTGATTTACAATGTTGTGTTAATTTCTTCTGTACAGCAAAGTGATTCAGTTATATGTAAACATATATCCTCTCTTCTTACAATTTGATATTATCTTAATTTGTCTACTAGACTAACCTCTCCAAGAACAAGAGTCATGCTGCTTCCTTCATTGCTATTTGCCCAGTGTCTAGAACAATTCTGGGCACAGAGTAATCAATATTTGTTGAGTAAAGTTGCTTAATTCTCTTGTGCCCCAGGCTCTCTCTTGTGACATGGAATAATAACTAGCTAATCAAACAAGGTTGTATTTAGAATTGTGAGGTAATCAATGTATGTGAAGTGCTTAGTATATTTATTGTTTCATTATGATCGTTTATATTACAGTATCACTCTATTCTCCCATAGTCCTCCAGTTCCTATTTTTGTACCTCCTGATCCATCTGGAATGTCACGACTGTCCATGACAGAGGCTGACTGGTTTGATGCTTGCGATGAAATCCTCACTTAGTTCTCTCTTGGCTGTATTTTTCCTCACAGGTTCTGCAGCTGGGCTCAGACATCCTTCCCCAGTACAAGCAAGAGGCACCAAAGACCCCCCCGCACATCATCTTACATTACTGTGTTTTTAAGACCACATGGGATTGGATCATCTTGATCTTAACCTTCTACACAGCCATCCTGGTTCCTTACAATGTCTCCTTTAAAACCAGGCAGAACAACGTGGCCTGGCTGGTTGTGGATAGCATCGTGGATGTCATTTTTCTGGTGGACATTGTGCTGAATTTTCACACCACTTTTGTTGGACCCGCTGGGGAGGTGATTTCTGACCCCAAACTCATTCGAATGAACTACCTGAAGACGTGGTTTGTGATTGACCTTCTGTCCTGCTTGCCCTATGACGTCATCAACGCTTTTGAGAACGTGGATGAGGTTAGTGCCTTTATGGGTGATCCAGGGAAGATTGGTTTTGCTGATCAGATTCCACCACCCCTGGAGGGGAGAGAGAGTCAGGTACATCCCTCAAATCTCGGACCTGTTGTCATGTCTTTAAGTTAATTGTGGATGCTCAAAAGAAGAGTACTTGAGTGGGTGGGAATTGGTACGACTGGTGTCTGAAACAGAGGGAGCATGATGCTTGGTCAGTATCCTTGCCTGCTGCTCTTGTCCTTTGGAGGTGTGGAGACCCTGCATGTCAGTGGATGGATGTGGAGGAGACCAGAGGCGTCTCTCTTACTCCCCGTGGAGTGCAAGCTGCTGGCTTGGGAGGTGGGGCTGCAGAAGCAGGCATGCATTGCCATTGCATTGGTGAATCTTACACTTGGTATGCATTTGCTGAATGCCTGTCTACTGATTATTCTCATTACGGGGACTTTTCTGTTTTCTACTGATGACCTTTGGCTGTTTCAAAACTAATTAACTCTTGAAAACAGAGATGCTACTCTCCCCTAAGATTGCTTGCCTGTATTTTTCCTTTTTCTCTGGTAAATGTTGGGAAACAATGAGTTGTTTCTTTGCTAAAATGAATTTTGCAGGTGACCAATGGCATTTAATTGTCCATGCTGTCCCTTGCCTAAATTTGCTGAGGTAGTCAGGCTGTGGTTAAGTCTGACTCTTGTGGCTAAGTCAGGCAAGAGGAGAGTGTTACTGCACTACACTGCTTTGGGTTGTTATGGGAGAGATTAAAAGAAGATAAATGCTCTGAAATGGGCTAAAATCAGGACATGCTTAAAGAGTCCGTGAATGTGTGCTGGGATGTGTTACAGCAGGAAGGGGCCACTCGGCTGGTTAAAGTGATTTTCTCCTTTGAAAAAGCAAGGGTGTCACATCACGGCAAAGGAAAATGTCAGATTCTTATCTAGTTTGAGTGTTCTGTGAGAATTGGTATTTTTTTCCCTACCTTTCAGTTGACACTTTAGGTGGCAGTACTCCTGGTAAGTCTTCAGCTTCAGATAGCAGTGGCCCTCACTGCCTCAGACTGTGGAGGGTCCCAGGGGTCTCAGGATGGCTGTGTTGCTGTCTGGATGGGTCATCCGGAAGTCATCAGGAGGCTGAATTGAGGCAAGATACGCTCTCAGGGCTAAAGGGCTAGCAGGACTGGAGATAGAGGGAAGGGACAGCCAGCTCCCTGCCAGGATAACAGGGCCTGCCAGTGACTCCACGTCTTGCTGGTGGCATAATGATGCCTCTCACTTTCACATCAGTACCAGCAGTGGGCGAGGACTCCAGCCCCTTCCTCCCTGAGAATCCAGCTTCCTACTGTTTGCTCTCCAGTGAAGGGGGGCTAGTGTTCAGATGCTCCAGACTCAGAGCAGTCCCTGTTTTCATCTGTGTGGTGTTTTAATAGACTATAAAATCCTGAGAAATAATGCTCCGAGTGACTTGTGTGGATTTTGTAGGGGGATTAAATGAGTTGAGACTGATCATTTAGAAGAGTAAAATCATCCCTAACGTGAATGTTGGGATTCTTAAATGTGAATTTTAGTACATGCTGGGAGTGCTATTTTTCTCTGTGAGCACATCTCTAGCAAATTTTATGTTAGTTAGCAAGGAAAATATGATCATTTTGGCTTAGATAATTTAACTGATTATTTCAACCTAAAAGAGCTTCTTATGCACATATGGGAAATGAGTTTTAACTTTAAAAATACTGGTTGAGTTTTAAAAATAAACCATTTGCTATTTACAGCAATGGCTTTGAAATTTTGCAGATAAATAGAGCAGTTCTTTGGCTTCTATAGTTTCTTACTAAACATTGGCAGAGCTTTAAACACATATGTAAATGTGTCAAGATTACCTTGTAGGTTAGCAGAGCATAGAGCTTCTTCCCATGCACTGTGTATGTTGGTTCAGAATTCCTTTGCCATTAATCGTGAGTACCCTTGACATGGTTTCTGGTGTCCAGATTCATGAAGTCGATTGTAGATAGGGAAATTATAATTTCTCTGTGATGAGTCCCTCAGTTATGTCCAACTCTTTGCAACCCCATGGACTGTAGCCCTCCAGGCTTCTCTGTTCATGGGATCTTTCAGGCAAGAATACTGGAGTTGGTTGCCATTTCCTACTCCAGGGGATCTTCCTGACCCAGGGATCGAAGCCACATCTCTTGGGGCTCCTGCATTGGCAGGTGAATTCTTTACCACTGAGCCACCTGGGAAGCCATAATTTCTCTATAGCTTTCTATTAATAGTTGGCAAAGGGTTTAGCATCAAAGCTCTTACAACTGTTTTTTGATCATGAATAATAATGTGAACATTAAGAGGTTATAGTTATGATTTGCTTCTGTAAAGACTTGACTTTATATTTGATAACTCCTTTCAGAGCTCTGGCTCAAACCTGAAATAAAGCCTTTCCATAATAGTTGTGGTAGAGTTGGGGAAACACTGAAGATTCATATACTAAAGATTTGGCTGCTGTTCCTCTTAGTCTCACCTGTAAGGACAGCTGGGAACCTTGTGCATGTCATTTAGCCTTTCTGGATCCCAGTTTTCCTAACTGCAGCTGGGGGATGATACCACCTCACCTGCCTGAAGGCATGGCATTTGGGCTGTGGATTTGAGTTCCCTGTCAGCTGCAAAATCTGGTGAGTTCAGAATCCCTGGTGTTAGTCTCACCTCCAGACTGACTATAAAAATGAGAGACCCAGCATCCTGACTTCCTATATTTGGTGGAAGTTGGAGGAAGATGGGGTGGGAGAGGGATATTTAGCAGGTTATGATAAGTAGACCTACTGGAGGTCAGAGCCCAGTAGAACTGTCACCTGATTTAACCCTCTTAACTCACAAACAGAACAGAGAAGAATCAAAGGGGACTCCTTATTACTGTGACCATATGATGTGCTGCACCATCTTGAATGAGTCATGTTCCCTGGGTCTGTTCCATGACAGTTTTGGTAAAATAGGGAGAAAACACAGAAGGATGCTGTTGAGTCAGAACTGACCAAGAAGCTCTGGATGTGTGTGGTTCACCCTTGGCTTGGTTGTTGTGATGGGGAGGCTGGGTATTGGGTACCAAGGATGGGAAGCTGCAGTTTCCCTGAGGCAGGAGGGCTGGTGATGTGTTGGGCAGTTTAAGATGCTCACCAAGGGACAGCACTGTTTTCCAGGCACCAGGCCTTTGTGTCCAAAGGCACCGTTAAATCAGCAGGCACGGAGGGCTGCTGGCACTTACAGCGGGTTGGAGACGCCATGAAGGGCACCCCAGCTGTTGAAGCTGGGTTAGGTGGGGGAAATCCCTTCACTGGAAGAGTTCTGATTAATTCACCATAGTGTTGTCTTCTTCCCCAGGCTCTGCTGTGGGGTTGCTCATCTAAGACTAGAGAGTGGGGAGAAATAGGGAATTATGGACTCATTTCTCGTAAACAGTAACGGAGCAGACCTCTCTCTGGTGTCCTCCTGGTTATGCCAGCGGAACTGTGCTGCAGTGGAGACCCCCAGGGAGGCGGCGGATGGGCAGGGGGCGCTTTCCATCTGTGTGTGTAGGGGTTAGGGCATAGGCGTGGGGACTGGGGTGAGGGCTCTTAAAGCGAAAGGATTGGGCCTTCCCAAGCCTTGGGTCAAGAAATTAGGTTAAAAAGCCAGCAGTTGTGAATTCAGCCCTGTGGATGGAGCCCACCTCATGACTTAAGCCACACTGGCAATCCATTTTGCCCCAGCTTGGTTCACTTATGTAAATGGCCTGTGTTTGCGTCATTCTCCAGTCTGTTGGTAATCATCCGTTTTGGAGGCCGTTTGGAAATATGTTTGCGCATTAGTTAAACTGGTGAGAGGACGGAAGGCCTGGAAACAGAGTAAGTGGAAGCTTGGAATGGGTGTGCTGGAGCAAAAGCCCAGTGGGTCTCTTTCAAGCACTTCGTGCAGTGGACCCCAACCTTTTTGGCACCAGGGACTGGTTTCCTGGAAGACACTTTTTCCGTAGACCAGCATTGGGGTAGGGGGCTGCTGGTTTGGGGATGATTCTCATAAGGAGTGAGCAACCTAGATCCCTCTCATGCCCAGTTCACAGGAGGGTTCACGCTTCTATGAGCATCAGACGCCACTGCTGATCTGACAGGAGCTGGGGCTCAGCAGGTCATGCGAGCGATGGGGAGCGGTTGTAAACACAGGTGAAGCTTCGCTGGCTAGCCCGCCGCTCTCCACCTCCTGCTGCGTGGCCAGGCTCCTCACTGGCCCCTGACTGCTACCTGGTCCGTGGCCTGGGGGTTGGGGGCCCTTGACTTAGTGGACTATGGGCCTGGTGTGTGTCATGGATTAAAGAGAATTATTATTCACAAAACATAAGGAATCCTAATTTTATTGCCAGTGGAGTGTGGAAGTGCAAACAGGGGATGGAGCCAGTTGTGCCCCCAGCCGGGTCACGATCCTGGTGCCCTGAGGCCTGGGGCCAAGAGCTCCCTTCTGTCCCCGGCTCTGGAGCCTCAGACTGCAGCACCGCCAGCTGGGGCTGGCCACAGCTGACACGTGCCGAGAGCACATGGGAGACGTTCACCCAGAGCAGAGGAGGACCGAGGCATGCTGACGGAGAGATAACAGCGCTGATAGCCACTTCCCTTCGTCTAGAGCACTACCTTTCCAAAACACTTTCCAACAGATTGTCTTTTTTAATTATTGAAATATGGTTGACCTGCCATATTATGTTAGTTTCAGGTATAGTCCATAGTAGTTTGATATTTGCAAATATTATAAAATGTTCACCACGCTAAATCTAGTAATCATCTGTCCTCATACAAAGTTTTTATAATATTATTGACCGTATTCTTTCTTGTGCAGAGGGACTTTGTTTCAGCTTTGTGGTGGTAAAGAAACTGCACTTAACTGAGGGGAAGATGACTTGTCAGCTTCCAGCCGTGCAAACTTATAGAAGTCATTTCACCTCCTTGGACTTTGCTTACCTCACCTGTAAGATGGGTCCATTTCAGCTTGACCCTTCTGTGGCTCTAGGGCAGGTGTTATCCCTGCTTTTCAGATGAGGGGAAAGGGCCAGGTTGTCCAGAGAGTAAAACTGGACTCTGGTCTCATAACTCCTAGGTTAGTGCTTTTCCCTGTAAGTCATGCTGCCTCTTCAGAGATCTGGGGGCAGAATGAGCCAAGCAGTGTGTGCTATGAAGTCCATTCCCAACTTGGCCCCTTCTGCCTGCCTCCCACCCCACCTCCGAGGGGAGAGAGGTTCGAGCGGTCAGCCTGGGATCCCTAGTGCATATGTGTAGGGCTGGACAGTGAGCATGGGGTTGGAAGTAACTCCAAAGGGCTGGTTGCCTGTCCTCCTCTCTCCTTGGTGGATGGGCCAAGGTTCTTCCAGATTCACTGTTCCTAGCTTTTCTATGATTCCTTATCACTGAAGCTGAAATCAAATTGGATCTATATACGCTGATCATCCTGTTGATTTGTAGTTTTCAGGCCTTACCTGTGGTTTCTATTTAGGTGGATGGACACTGGTTTAATTGCCACATAGGTGACTCCTCTCTTTTCCAGCTGAAATCTCGGAGGAAGCTGTTGGCTAAATGTCATGAAATGACTGAGAGTTTTCTATCCTACACTCCTAGCAATACATGATATGAATGTACTATATAATTGGTTTATATATTTCCCTGTGGTTTATCATAGCAATTATTTTTTATTAATAGACTATTTTTCAGAGCAGTGTTAGGTTTACAGAAATAGAAAGACTACCTTCACCACCTGCAGGTTCCGTTATTAACACCTTGCATGAGGGTAGTAGACTTGTTACGGCCAATGTGCTCAGTCACTCAGTTGTGTCTGACTCTTTGCAACCCAATGGATTGCAATCCACCAGGCTCCTCTTTCCATGGGATTCCCCAGGCAAGAATACTGGAATAGGTTGCCACTTCTTACTCCAGGGGATCTTCCCGACCCAGGGATCAAACCTGCATTTCCTGTGTCTCCTGCATTGCAGGCAGATTCTTTACCTGCCATCGGGGAAGCCCCATTATGGCCAATATGATGCATTATTATCAGCTGAAGTCCATAGTTTCCATTAGGGGTCACTCTTTGCAGTATGCTTTTTCTGGGTTTTGACAGATGGATAATGACATGTGTCCACC